AAAAGTCAAGCCTACTATGTGATTAAGGTATTTTCTTAACGTATTTCACTTTAATTCAAGTATCTAAGCTATAGATTTCCCGGGGCTCTATTCAAGTAACTAAGGCAATCTCTTTGCTTACTGCTTACTTTGAGTCTAATTGTTTTATGCTATTTGACATTGCTGGTTATTTAAATGATACAGCCATTTCACATGAATCTCTGTGGAGCCTTAATTTTGAGCAGTTTGAACATTTCACTTCAGTGCTCACTAATTTACAAAGACACAAGAATTACTTGCCAAGTGGCAATGCTATGAACTGAAAACTAGTTTATCACAGTCTCACATGATCTTAAATTCTACTTGTCAGTTATTTCTAGGTATTTATCACATGGTGTTTGCACCTTGAAGAATGTCAGCTTTCCCCTTTCACTTACCAATCATTCATGCATACTTCAGCTTTTAACTGGAAAAAAAAAAATCAGTATTTATCCATAATGCAATACCCTGGTTCTGGAACAGGAATCTATTATTTTTGATCTCCACAAATTCTCTGATATCTTGTTAAGACAAAATGCTTCCAGCTGTGAACTTGGCTCTGAAGTTCGTATTTTTCATATTCTTAAGTGTTAAATTTCTTAATGATAGTATTTCTGCTACTGTGAGATCCAGAACAGCAGAAGACCCTCAGCAGAACCCATGTGGTCACTGTGGGTGTATAAAACACCCTCCACACCTACAGAGATTTTTCTCAGTGTCATATTTTCTGAGGGCATAGAAAATATTTCACCTGTTGGTTGTTTCTTAAATCTTGCTGGTCAGGTAAATGAAGAGTTACAAGTAATTCCTAAACTGGATGACTTCTAGCAGTCTCTCTGTGGTTTTCTATAATGTACAATCTCAACTCTTGCATTTTGTGGGTGAAGGAAGCAGATGTGAAACATGTGCTGCAGTTCAAGTCAGCAGTGCAGGGCATGGACATTGCTCCCTACACTGTGGATGCTGTTGGTCAGGACTTGGAGGGCTTAGCTAGAGAGGCAGATATCCATCATGAAATGCACATGGATTAAATACCTCAAAGAACGTCCAGTACTGTAAATAACTAGTCCTCCCAGTCCCCCAGTCACTCAAATCTCAGTTCAAGCGACTTAAACCCCTATTTTTTTCTCTATAATGATCCTAATACTTTCAGTAAATGTGCAGGCACCTAAAATACCTGTTTTGCTTTCAGGCTGCACAGGAAAAGCAAGCACTTCAACAAGAAGGTGATGATTTGGAAGCAAAGATCTGCAAAGCTGAAAAAGAAATCGTAGCTCTGGAAAACACTTTGCGTGTTCTTAATAGCTGCAACAGCAACTTCCGAAACTCTTTCAAGGAAGTCACTGAGACAAGTATGTAAAACAGGAATTGCTGTTTGCTGTGGTGATGATCACACAGCTCGGGTATGTAGTGGGGAAATTCCATGGCACAAAAGAATGAATCAGAGAGAGACTAAACTGAGAGTAGCAAAAGGGAGTGTAATTCCCATGCTGCTGTGAATAGCTCAGCAGAACAAGCGCAGAAGAAAGTGTAGTCAGGTGTAATTAACTAAGATTTATGTTGTTCTCTCAGATTTGTGTGAAAATCTCTAAGCCTGTATACACTTTGTGAATAGTCGTAAGTAGGAACAGACGGGAGAGGCAAAGCATAAAGATGATTCCTGGGGGATCATCCCTGGGAGGAAGTGGTGTCCATTGGAGTACATGGGCCTAGTGGATAACTGCACTGACACTCAGACTTCGTAACTTTGCTCTCTCTCACAGTGGAACTTTTTGTTTAGTGTCTAAAAACCATCACTTTGAGAAATTACATAATTAATAAGTATTATCTAGAATTAAGTTTAACTTTTGTGCCCTCTACTGGCTCTGGAACCAGTAGCTTTTAAATCATTTTCCCTCATGAAGCTAGTTACTTTTTCAAAGTAATCTGGAATTAGTAGGAGAGTATTTAAAAAACCCACAAATCTTGAAGTTGCTGAAATACCGTCAACACCCATATAGTAATACTCTGTGATGCAGCTCCTTTAAGGTCCAACTTATTTTCAAGTGAAAATACAGTTGTATACACAGCAAAAATGCTGCCTCATTGTTTGGGATCACAGGTGAGGAACGTGAGGAAAGACTGAAACTAGAGGAGGAGAAAAGGGTTGCTGATGAAACATACCAGTGCAAAAGAAGACAGATCAAGGAACTTCAGGAAAATCTCCAGGTAAAATAAAAGTTCTAGTCAAACAGACAAGACTGCAGCACGTGGCTAAACCCATGCAAGCCATCCTAGAGGAAGATTAGGAAATTGTGGTACAAATTTTTGTCTGGTCTTTTATATTTGAGTGCTTACTTGAATTTTCTTGAATCACAACAAAACTTGAGGTTTTAAGTCACACCTACAGCTAGAAGTTTCAGAGTCCAGAATGCACTGACAGATGCTGTTCTGGCAGCCACTAAAGCAGCTGTGCTTTAGTGTGCAGCACATGCCACTATTGCATCAACACACTCATCTTGTGTCCTCTGGCATCTATGTCCCAGGATTTTTCTGGAACAAATTCAGTTTTATTAGCACTGAGGGTGCTTCAGTTTAAACAGAATTAATTTAGCTGACTCATAACATAGCAGGCTGAGCACTAAACACAGGGAAAGGAGAACTTGTGTTCAGGCTCCACAGCAAGGACTCATTCTTGGTTCCCCTGGTTATGGAAAAGCCACTTGGACCTTAAGAAAGAGCAACACTTAATTCTGATGTGTGACATTTAGTTAGAACTTTATTAGGCAGAGGAAATCGAGGAACACTGCCACATGCACAACTGTTCTAAGCCCTGAGTCAACAAACGTTCCTATTGCTTATTCTACCAAAGCAGGACATCTCTCTTCTTTCAGATGTGTTATTTCTTAAGGTAAAGGGACACAGATCTTCATCAGGGAGTAAACCCTGGGACATAATGAGGTGTTACAGCACACCCTTTCCTGCCTTTTTATTTATTTATTTAAAAAAAAAACAAACACAAAAACAGAGCTGCCCTTATGGAGCTGATTATATTAATTCCAGTCAAAGGTATCCATCTCTTTCCACAGGAAACTATGTTGGGGTTTCTTAGGATAGCTTGCACTAGTAAATTGGTGGTGTGCCAAGTAAATAATTTGTAGACACTGCTCAGAAGCACATCTGAAAACACATACCTGCAACTTCACTAACAGTACCTTTAAAGTAATTTTTTTAAGATATGTAAATTACCTGGTAGTCACTTTATCCAGGTCTGTGTCCACTAAACAAAGTTTTGAGTTATCGATAGCACTAATTGCTTGAGGTACATCTAGAAACAAGTCGTAATGACAACAAACCCTTCCACAAAGAAATACAAAAAGTGAAAGGATACCAAAACTGCTTTATAAACTAACACTGCCATTCAAATGAATTTGCAGAGCATGGAACAATACCTTGATGTAGCAGAGAAGCAGAAAGCCCTCTTCCAAGAGCAAAAGGAGGAAAAACAAGATCTTATTCTGCAGCTGAACAAGGACATTGAAGAACAGAAGCCAAAACTAGAAAGGGTTATAAAACAGGTTTGTATGTGACTGACAACTTCTACCTTTGTAATGATAGACAGTAGTGTGGGTTAAACTCTGGTTTTAGCTTAGCAGGGTTCTGAAACAGTGTTGTATTTTCATAAGAGCAATGCTTTAAAAATATTTGTGTTAAGTGTTCCAGACTATCCAGAGAAATTCAGTCTCTGAGGCAAAATGGAACAAAAACAGAGGAAGAGAGAGACATTGATCTTCGTGAATTGAAAAGCTTCAACAGAACCGTCAACCAAGTGATAGCTGATGTTCTAGAAACAAATCCTGGTTTAACTGCAAGCTTTCAAATGTACTTTAGCCAGGTGAGCTTTCCAGTTAACTGCCACCAAAATCTTGAGTGAGAGCTCCAGCCTACTGCTGAGCTTCTTTAAGGGCAACTCCTAAATTCAACAATATACTTACAGTAAAACAGGAAAATGTTCATCCCTTTTCCACAGCTCTGCAAATACCCAGCACTATAAACCCTCCTGATATCCCAGTCCTATTATACAACCACCACTTCAACTTGTTTTTTCTTTCCAAATTTTCTAGTCCAATTTAGAGCTTCCTACTGCTTCTGCTGATGGTAGTCAGAGTTCTCAATCCACACGACATACTACCAGGTAAGTACTAGCATTGTTGGGTTGGTTTGAGTTTTTTTTCAGATAAAGTTTAAACCAGCAAAATCGGTTCCTAACTGACAGAATTTTTCACTCCCAAAGGTCTTCTCAATTGTCTCTACTTTCTGAGGACTCTATAAAAACTTTCTTCTTACACTGTCCTTTAAGTTTACCAGATTTTTCTAGCACATGATGAAGTTTACTTCAGCATCCATCAGTTTAAAATAAAACTGTAATTACAGAATAATTGCATTTACATTTCCTAATCCTGCTCTATTTAAAAAGTGTTTTTACAATATAAAAGCACAACTTTGAGCCACATTTTACACTTGGTAGTGTGAACTCCCCTTCCTGATTAAATAGAGAAAATATATATGCTTTTACTGATATCTTCTTCCCCTGTCCAAGGTATGCTCACATAGTGCCTGTGCCACACTGACCAGTTATGGTCTAACATTCCCAGAGGTTACTGAAGCCACTAGTGAGATCTTTGCAGGGGATCTCAGCTGGAATGAACACGGCTGCTGGGTGGCTGCTTTGTGAGCCACCTTTGGCAGCTCTGTTTTAGATAAAGGAATTTCTGTATCTTGATGAGTAAATTTGTCTTTCAGATCCTTCAGAAGAACAAGTTCAGTCTCTAGTCAGGCTTCATCCCTCAAAGTCGTTGAGCTGACCTTGCCTCTCCCCACTCCTGAGGAAGCAGCAGCTGTTGGCTCACAGCCACCCAGCAGAGGCAGCACCTCTGGTATTTTTAAAGGCAAAAAGAAGTTGTAAGTCATCTAGTTGAGATTCCTTAATTTTTGCAACTGACCTATATCCATGGAGTTACCTGGAACACTTGCAGCAGAAGTACAATTGTTATTGTGTGGGCTGACAGGTATTTGCTCCTTAGTGTGGTTCTGACACCCACCTTTGCAGATCTCACTGGGGACAGCGTTACCTCCTCCTTCAGTAACGCGACCACTGCCTTCAGGCTGCTTGTAAAGCAAATCCCAACAACAATGCTCAAACCCAAAGGTTCATACTTAAACTTACCTAGACAATAAACACTCTTATAAAACCTCTGTACTACTTTAGTTGGTTGTTTTTTTTTTTAACATTACTCCTAGAGAACATTTGATATATTTAAAGAATGTAATACACTTGCCTTCACAGACAGGGGAGGGTTCCACTGAATTGGACCAGTGACCAGTGTGAAACATCCCAGCAACATTAACAAAAACCCAGACACGAAAGAAAAATTAAGAAAATTTAATGATCAAATGAACTATATACATTGTGATGGCACATGACTTCATTCAGTTATCCCTTTTCTATAGCTGGAAGTTTGATAGAAAAATATCATCAGTCAGTAGTACCCCAAGGACAAGAAAAACCAAACCAAATCAAACCCATCTGTTGTTAAAGTGCTTATTTGATGCAAGTCACAGCTAACTATATCCAGGGGTATCAAAGGATTTCAGCCCATCAGACAGAATATTGTACAGGAACACCTCAAATTAAGAGCACAGGAAACTTAAATAATAACTGCTATTTTATGCAAGATATCTTTCCATCTCTTTCCACCACATAATCTTTTAGAATTTTCTGACATCCTGCAATACAGAAAAAATCCTGCCTTTCTATCACTTTTTATGTGCATTTCCTCACAAGATACTCAGTTAAAGGTTCATTTAACTACACTCATCCAAACAGTGTACTCTCAGGGTACTTCACTGTTTCTTCTGCTTACTTCCTTTTTCCCTCTCAAACTCAGCTATTTGGTTGAATATATTAACTAAGTTCTGGGGCAGGTTTCTTTTAGTGCCACTTTCTGCTTGTTCTGTACCATTTAAAGACATTTCCTCATCCGGTTCTTTAGTTTTATCACTCTCTTCAGAACTTCTTTTCCTATTCTTAGACTCGCTTTCATTCTTATACTGACCTGACACATGCCTGTCACTGTCATAACCTTTGTCACCTTCACGTGAGCAGGTGCTAGAGTATGACCTGTACTTCCCCCACGACCTGCCAGAATAGTCAGACCCTGATGGAGACATGTAATACCTGTCTTGACCTGAGCCATGTCTTCTAAACTGCTCTCTTCTCCCCTCTACGTCCCTTTCTGACCTCCGGTAATAATGCATCCACGGTTTATCATATGATTTATGATACGAACCTGAAGAGCCCCTCCAACTGGAGAAAAATCTCTCTGGTTTACCGTATTTTTCAGTTCTGCTATGACTTGGCTGACTTCTGGAGCTACTGTAAGAATCTCTTGAATCTTCAGACCTACCTCCAAAAGTGTCTTCATCATCACCTGAAGTCCTCGACAAAGAACAGTGTCTGTCTTTCTCTTTTACCTCCATTTTTGGACATGCTAAGCTGTCCTGCCTTTCCAGCAGCTTTTCCACTTCAAAATTTTGGTTAAGAAAAGAAGCAGAGGTATCAGCCGGAGGGGAATACCACTCCTCTTTCCTATTCTGATCTTTATAATGGGAAGAAGCTCTAGATGAGCTTTTTTTGGAGCTGCGAGCAGACTCAGATCTATGCCGACGCTTTTTCCTACGCTTCTTGTGATCAGAGGAAGAGGAGGAAGAAGACACTGATTCATCTGATGATGAATCACTTGATGATGATGATGATGAGGAGGAGGAGGATGAAGAAGAGGAGGAGGAGGAGGAAGTCGATACTTTCCTTTTCTTCTTCAACCTAAAAAAACGTAATTAACCCGTGAGATAATCTTCAGTATCAGGCAAAAATTACATGCAGAAAGCTAATTTGTATACCCCAGTTTGGACTGTAAGGTGTGAAGGGAAACTCAGCCTGACCTGGCAAGACAATTCCAAGTCATTTCTTCATCAAAAAATTAAGATTAAATCCACTGAACAGTTTGTTATAAAAGGCATCTTTCCCAATTACACATGGCATTACACTTTGGAAATACGTCACACTGCAAAGTATTCCAACAACTCTTCCACATGCACATTAAAAGTTACATGCATTAAAGGACACTGCCCACAAAAAGGTTCTGGAGGTAAAGCAGCTTACCCAGGGAGAAATTCTCCCTAGCTTGCTGCTGGACAATCTGTCTGGAATGGATTGTTCACGGTCTTGTCTGCACTTACTGCCCCATAACCAGTACCCTGAATATAACAGTTACCTTTTTTCTTCTTTTAAGAGCTTACGCAATTTTTCTGCACTTGTTTCTACTTTCTTTGCTTTCTGTCTCTCTTCTTTGGCAGCTTGTTTCTCCCTCATTTCCAAAGATTTCTTTTTTGAACCCAAGCATCATAAAAAAGATCACATTAGTAGTGTTAACAAGGGTATTTTCCCCCATTCAACCCCATTCAAATGTATAATCACACCAGGGATGTTTTACCAGTATTCCCAGACCAAAAATTAATTTTGTTCAGGAGTTTGGTATTGGCCATTGTGATAGTCAGGTTTATATTTAAGGACCATATTGCAGTTTTTATTCCATTAAAAAATATATTTGACCAGTCATTGCAGTGGTACCCGTGATCCAGCACACCGTTAAACACAGAGCCCAAAAGTTATAGGTAGAATATGCAAAAAATCCCCAAAATTACCAACATATAGAAAATAAGGAAAAAACCCAAACAACCAAAACCAAACCAAAATAGAGACAAAAGTTTGAGGGAAAGTATCATTATTGCAGTTTACAAGTAAAACATGGTAGAACCCAGTTTCAGATGAATTCAAGTTGGCCACGTTTGAATACAAACCGTTTGGTAACCATTTCACAGCCCAGTTTGACGCAGAGTTTACGTAAGAAATCCGATCCAGGGGTTTGGTGGTGACGAGCAGCACCAGACGTCAGACACAGCAACAACGGTCCCGTTCAGAGGAAAATGCATTGGAGAAAAACACATCATCAGTATTACAGGAAAACACACTCCAGTGCCATTTCAGCCCTTCTAGCACAGCAGGGACAGGATCAGACTTAATACATAAGTTACAGGTAAATGCAGAAGAGCATCTCACCAGATGAATAATCCTTAGACTACTTAACTCTATAAGAGATCAGACTTCTGCCACCTACAGCCCTACAGAGCAGCTCTATTCAGATTCAGAGTGAGCAGAAAGTCTGATTAGAGTTTTCAAAACTTAGCAACTATGCTAACAGCTATAATAAAGGAAACCCTTTGTTGCAGCCAAGGCCATGCACACCAACAACCAACAGCTATTGTGTTCTTTGCTGCAGCAATGACCATAGCAAAGTGCTAAAGGAGAAAAATTTATCTCCCTCATTTTAACTGACACCTCTTTCTAAAGCAGCCAAATGCAGATACTGCTCAAATACCATATACCTGTTTATCTGTGGTGTAGTTCAATTTTATTAAGAAGATTGTCCTGTCTCCCCTTCCCCCTTGTTTCCACACAACCTGTCAGCATTATGGCTCCACCAACTGAAGAAATGCTGACTAAGGCCATCTCCCCCAGCCTATGTACATCCTCACATGCAGAAGCACAGAACAAAACAAGCCTGCTCCTCAGTGCTCTGTTTTACTCTTTGACCTGCTGTGGAAGACAACACAAGCAAAGGAGGTGAACGAGAGACAAAAGATGACAACTCAGACTAGCACAGAGACCCACCAGGCTCACCTGGGAAATGTGCTGCATGCAAGGGAAGAGAGGAAAAAACCACCAGACAGCAGAGGAGAAAGCTGAGATATTCAAACTGTCTGCCCGCCCACCCTCCAGCTCCTGCTGTTTGCCTTTAAATTACCTTTTAATTTCCCTTCTCCTGTGATCTCCCCATGCCTTAACTTTGCCTGGTGTTCCTCTATCTTTCTGTAATTACCCAAAGGCCCAGGACCTGGCCAGTGACAAGGATCTGTCACTATATAGTGACAATGTTAATCTGGCTTGCAGAAGTGTTTTACACTTTGCAACTTTGTATTCACAGAACGTTTTAAGTTAACAGCATTAATCATGCTTGTGTGATGGGATATTCTTATCCCTGCTTTGCTCCTTCCCTGTCTCCACTGTCCAGCATTTCTTTACTATCCTTTTCAAAACAGTGGAGTCACCAAGAGATACCTTTCTTCTGGTAGGTACAGCCATAATGCTCACTAGAAAAGATTTACTGTGGAGTAGGGAAGCAGAGAGTAAGACAAACCATCAACTCAAACCCTCTCTGTTCAAAAGATTTAGTATGATTTTTGATGTTCACTTATTGTCACTGAGAGCACCATATGAAAAGAAAGTAAAGAATCACCTGGATGTGCTTACGGAGTTTTGTTAAGGCCTCTTCTGCTTCCTGAAAAGTCTCATCCAAACTTAAGGCTTTTTTATAATAACTCTCAGCATTTAGTAGTTTCTCTTCCTCTTCCAATCTAAAATTCAATGATAATTCATATACAGTTAAGACACAGATTTTGGCAGCTTCTTCTTATTTTTAGGACTTTCTTATTTGCAAATATTTCTTATTTGCACAATGACACTACCACTGCATCCCTCCAAGACCACCTCTATCACCTCAGGCCACCAAAACAGCATTTCTGACATAATCATCTCCTACCCCTGATCAGTAACACTACTCTTCAAAATGTCAATTCCAATTCCAATAATACTGTCTCTCTCTTCTTAACAGAGGATTTAAAAGAAACCTATTCCCTGAATATTCAGAATTAAAATTTTGTGTTAGAGGGGTTCACCAATATTTCAGAAGAGTTACAGTACATCATTTTATTACAAAGATTTTATCTAAAAAAAAACCCCACCCCACAGCCTTTTGGAATATATTCAAACATTTCAGAGGACTTTATGCAAGCCTGGTATCCTAGCAGTGAAAGGGTATAAAGGATTAAAACGGATATTGAGGATTAAACCTCAAACATTTTGCCAGGATTTTAACTGGGACAGAGGACAAAGTGTAAACCAACTACACGAGCAGGGATATTTTCAAGGACTTTTTTTTTAAACACAGCCAGGAAGGAAAGATGCCCTTCTGTATCCTAACTAGAATGGTATTAAAAAAAAAATATTATGAGAAAAATTGTTAACAGCCAAACCAGCCCCTCACCCCAACACTTACTGCCCGCCTCTTTCCACAAGGGTCTGACACAGGTATTTTCTTGCATTTCTATGGGTAGGACAGTTTTCTAAAGCAATTTCAAAATCCCCAATGGCTTTGTTTAGACTTCCTTTTGTTGCATACCTAGAAGAGAAAGTTGCACAGATTGCAGTGAGGTTTCTCATTCGCAAAGCAGAAAAACCAATGAGACAAGCAGACTTACAGAGCTCCACGTGCTACCAAAGCCTCAACGTTTTGTGGATCAATTTCCAAAGCTTTGTTGTACTCATTCATGGCTTCCACATGGCGCCCAACCTTGAAATAATCCACCCCAGCCTTCACACTGGAGAAAAAGTATTTAGAAAATCTTATGTACAGTTTGTCTATGCAGATTTTGCACTGTTACTCACAAATTACAATTCCAAACACATGATAGGTAATAAAACCTGAGCCTTGTTACCATGTACTTCCCACTGGCATTTCAAATTAATACAATATTGACTTAATTCCACAACAATATATTGTCTTTAATCCAAAATCTTAAGGCACTCAAGAGAATTTCTGCAGATGATGCTACTACATTACATTGTTTTTATTTATGGAATGATTATTTAAGTCATTTTCTTCACCTACCACCATGAACCTGGAACAGGCTTAATTGTATCCAAAGCTCAAAAATGCCATCAGACCAACTGCACAAGGTGACAGGGGCAGATGGCACACACTGGAACCAGCTCATCTTAAACAATATTTTGAAGCTTTAAATTTCACATTACCTTAACATTTCTTCCACATTTGCTAAGAGATTAACTTACTGAAAGAGAATAATGTAAATTGATTTTCAGAGCTTTTCATTACAGACTTTTTTAAAAAATTGAAATTTAATTAACATTATAAGCAACTTTTTTTGCAACTAATCAAAGTTGCAAATACACTGTGCAGTGTAAAAGCAACAGCACATATCCAGGGCTGCTGTTCCAAATGAAGCAAGGGAAATACATTTAACTTTCCAAAGACAGCAAGGTCACTTGTTACATTTACAGTCTGAGGCTTAAACGACTTGACAAGTATGAGGTCACTGAACACTCAATTGAAAAACAGAGAATTGTGTACTTGGTGTTAACACAAATCTTGCTCTCAATCTCATGAATGGGCCAGAATATTATAAACATTCTCCCTTAAAGCTGAGATGCATTTTGGAACTGAATCTTGGGACTTTATCTATCACACACCCACTTAGCAGATCACTAAACATGTTGTGGAAAAACCGATTTAAAGTGTATTTTCTTTGAAGAAATATAACCTGTAACCTGTAACCTAACCTAACCTATAACAAGAAGTACCACGTACCATTTCAGGGCCCAAGATGCAGACTGCTTTTTCCTCAATGCAGGGGCAAAATCTTCTTCATTGAAATTTTTACTTTAAGGAAAAAAACAAACAAAACCATCAAGTTGGCCTTCTGAGTCTACAAAGTTAAACTTATAATATGTAATGCACTTGAAATAAATCGAAATATTATTCATACATGCCTTACTGCTCTCCCTCAGTCAGGAAGGTTATTTATTTCTGAAACCAATTTTTCCCAAACCATTCTAAAAGTCCTGAATTGAACAAGTACAACTGCAGTACATTTAACAGAAACATACCAAGTTCACACCTATTTTGGGTCTAACATTTGTGGGGCTGACAACATCAATAATTGCATATATCTGACCCCATTTTACTAAAGAGGTCATATCTATTACTAAAACAAACATCTGTCAGAAAACATTAAAACTTAAACATCCTGTGCTTCAATACAAAGAAGATAACAAGAGTTATGCAATAAATTCCTAAAGTATTTGGTATCAAACATTGTGTGTGGTAAGGTATCTTGCTTATCCAGAGTAAGAGAATTTCAAATAAAAATTCTTTACTGTAGAGGAGTTTGCTTTTAAATATTTAAGGACATGTAAGCTGCAGTCATGCAAGTCAAAATGAAAAAGGTTTAAGTATAACTGGTCTAGGACTTCCACTCACAAGTCTATTTCAATGGATTAGAATAATCTCCACAGAGCTACAGTATAGGAACAATATAAAAATCACTTACATTTGAAGACTTCTCAGCAAAGACGGTGGATTTGACTCACTTAGTCCTAGTTTTTCTGCTAAATATTCAACTAATGATGGATTAGCAAATCCTGGGGAACGATGCAAAACCTCTTCAAATGTCTCTCCTGTATTAGCAACTTCCATGCTTCGCCTTAAAAAAAGCACCAATGTACACAAATGAAACCTCACAGGCTCTATACTTAATTTTTTCATCCTTATATTGAGAATAAAAATGCCTATATTGATATTTATATTACTGCTCACAAGCCATTCTGTTCTACAAGCATTTATTTTCCTACTATTTAGCAACCCTTATATCCTTCCTCTTAAGTGAGCTTTTGAAACCTACTTTGGCACCCATCTAGGTACCTCCAGAACATACAAAACCATTATAAAAATGCAGAGTTAGCTGTGTCCTCCCGTCTTCTAAGGGGAGTTTTGAAATGTTAATAATTTACTCCAGTCTCTCAAGGTTTTTGTTTCTTTCATTTGTTTGTTAACACAGTCCCAAAGCAACAGACACCTCACTATGCTTTCTGCTCCTTACATTTTGGGAAAGCAGTTAAAACACCAACCACACTCACATATCCAGAGGCAGGTATAGTAAAGAGATGAACAACAAGAAGTCTGTAATTATCCAATTAAATCAGAAACACCACTGGCAAGTTTAAGGGACAGACAACCTGTCAAGACACACTCTTCAGAGACAGTGGCTACACCCAGCAAGAGCAGAGAGGCAGCACATCCTTACTTATAATGCACTGGGAAGTCATCGGAGGTGATCACGCCCAGTTTGGTACTGGAAAGGTTGGGTGGAAGAGCTGAGCTGTAAAGAGACAGCGTGAGCTTCTCATGGTAACGGTCCACATCCTTGACTGCAGCTAAAGAAGTCATAAAGGTTAAGATAAAAGTACAGAAACACTTCAGACCCCAAACAAACCAATTCCCAGCAATTCTACAACTACTCACCTCGAATAAGGTCTCCAGTTTGATAATAAGACAGAGGATCTCCATGGTTGCTTTGAGGAGGCACATCCCTCACAGGACACAGAGCCTGCAACCCAAGAAAGCACAAATATCATAAATGAAGCCGAAAGGTTGGGGTTTTTTCCTCCCCAAGATTAAGCCATAGAAAGATGTGTTTAAGCTTAATGTACATCAGAACTGTGATACTTAAAAAATGGTTTGGTTCAAATAAAAATTCACGCATCCACAAATGATGAACTTTTCAACCCAAAAGTAATAGAGTGTGGGTCACAACAAGATGTGTTCCCTGGCTCAGCAAAGCATCATAAGCTGCCCACAAAGAGAGACAACCACCCATCATCCCAAAGCTCAGTTTCACCTTCACACACACCACTCCGTTAAGAGATGCAAGAGGCAACTAACACATGTCAAAAACGGAGCATTGACCAAAGCTGTATCTTACAGTGATTTCCAAATCTGCAATTTCCCGTATGACACCACTTCCCAGACAAATCAACACCATGAAAAAGCCAAACTCCCGGATGGAGGTGATCCTCCCGATCACGATATCGCCTCGCTCGATGTCGCGGAAAAACAATTCCCTCCTCTCCTCCCTGGGCACCTCCATGAACCTCTCCAGGGGTGGCATGACAGCATAACACTCTGCAACACAGGACACAGAGTCGGTTACAAACGACCAAAGTACTGTCTGAAAATACAGAATACATCACGGCAGCAAAACACGCTAAAATCTGACTGATTTGTGCCAACGAGAAGCTCGTGCACATCCCATACAAAGCAATAAGAAAAGTTTTTAGGCCTGTTTTAAAGATACCGCTAATTCCAGTGCAGTGTCCTTACACTTAAACACAGTGTGTCCCACACTTACCTACAGTGTGTCCTCACCCACCCCGCGGGCGTTACCGACCCCCCTCACCCACCCACCCTCATTCTCCTCGATCGTGTCCTCGATCGGCCCGTTGGGTTTCCACGAGTGCGCGAAGAGCAGATCCGCCTTCTTGGCGATGAAGCGCTTTATCTCGGTGTCGAGGCTCGCCCTGTCTTTCCTGGGGGAAGGAGAACGCGGTGAGTGGCGCCCCGCGGCCCCTCACGGCCCGCCCGGCCGCTGCCCGGCGCCCCATCATCCAAGCGGCCGGCGGGGCCAGCGGGGCGCTCCGGGGCGGCCCCGGGCGGCGGCAGCAGCCCCGCGGAAAGTCGGGGTTGTCGTGCTGCTCGGCGCGGAGCAGCGACAGCAAGCGCGGGGCCGTGGTGGCTCAGCGCTGGAGCGGAAGCAAGCTGCCCGCCATCCAGCGCCGCCGGCCTCGCCCGGAACGGGAACCGCGACACGGGCAAGGCGGGAAGGGCGAGACCAGCGCGGACGCAGCGCCCCCTGGCGGCGGGAAGGAACCGCGCTAAGCACGGGCTGCCCCCCATCACCTGTTTGCGGGCGCCGTCTTCCAGGTAAATAAAAAGAGAGGCGATGACAGGAGAGAGTAATCACACAAGGTGCAAATCACAGAGGTGTTCCGCCCGTGCGGATGCCCGCCCAGGCTCGGCGGGGCGGCACCTGCGGACAGTGCCTGCGGCGGCGCTGCCGGAGGGGGCGCTGCGCACCCCGCCGTGCCCGCCCCGCGCCCCGCTCAGCCCCGGCCGGGAGCGGCTTCCGAATGCGGGTTTGAGGGAAAAGGCAGCGCCGCCGCACCCGCGGGGTTCGGTCGAGGAGGCGCAGCCCCGCTATCCCAGGCGGTGCCTGGAGCGCCTTCGTTTCCGAGGGAGCGACCCCTGAACTCTCTCGGTCAGGGCTCTGGCACGGCTGGTCTGAGTTACAGCAACAGAGTCCAGGGCAGGGCTGGGGAGCTGGGGAAGGATCTGGAGCACAAGTCCCGTTTGGAGCGGCTGGGGAAGCTGGGCGTGTTTAGCCCGGAAAAGAGGAGGCTCAGGGGTCACCTTGTCACTCTCCACAACTCCCTGACAGGAGGTTGTAGCCAGGTGGGGGTCAGGCTCTTCCCCCAGGCAGCCAGTGACAGGATGAGGGGACAGGGCCTCAAGCTGCACCAGGAGAGTTGTAGGCTGGACATCAGGAAGAATTTCTTCACAGAAAGGGTGATTAAACTTTGGAATGGGTTGCCCAGGATGGTGGTGGAGTCACCGTCCCTGGAGTTGTTTAAGGAAAGACTGGACATGGCAATGAGTGCCATGGTCTAGTTGACAAGGTGGTGTTCGGTCATAGGTTGGACTCGATGATATCGAAGGTCTTTTCCAACCTAATTGATTTTGTAATTCTGAGAATAAACAGGAGAGTGTGAGCCAGCACAGCAGAGTGGAGGTGAGAGGCTCACCCTGGCAGGGATGGTCGCAGCATTTGTAAGCCAGGTTCCTTGAGCTGTCCCGTGGACGGGCTCCCATCAGCCATTCAAACAGGAGAACAGGCTCCCATTGGCACTTTATACAGGTGACACAGAGCAGTGTGCAGGGATGTACTGGCCCTGTTTGTGAGAAAGTCTGTACTGAAACAGAGGGAAAACAGACAATTCCCTCAGGAGAAGGTGATGGGCTGAGGGTGCAGCTGGGCCATTACCATGAGCCTGATGCCGGGCTCAGCATTCCTGTTCACCAGTGCTAACTTTAAATGCTAAAAAGACACTTCACTCAGGAGGCTCTTCATGCTAATCACCTCTCTAGCTAATGGAGAAAGGTGCTTAAAACCAGCTGGAAATAATCCAAGCCTATTAGAAAGATCACAGTTCTTCAGCCCTGAAGAATAATTTGTCCCTGGCATCACATTTAATAATTAATTTTAAAAGGGGGGTAGGGGGGAGAAAATCCATTGCAAACAGCATAATGTCACTTCTCCCCTCAGTACAATGCAGAAGAAAAAATAGCAATCTGGCTGTCAGCAGATCAGGGACATAGACTCCTCTAGGAAGCAGCATGACTGAGAGGGCAAGGATCATATCAAAGATGCTGGTCTCAGAAGCTCAGTTCAAAGCCAGCAGGGATATCGCTGGTATAGCAGACTTGGGGAAGACATTGGAAGGGCAAATTTATATTTTATTTTCATTTCGTGTCCCCCTGTTTTAATATAACAGAAGATAAAGGAGGCATAACACTTACTGTGTACCGAACAGCTGCCAGGAATTTGATTTAAAGTCTTCCTGATCTGTATGAGACCAGGTGTGCACTTAGATTTCTGGTTGCCACGGTGGGAAAACACCATTAACACCAGATGGAAATTTCTAGACATTGAGACTGATTAGACACAGGTTGACATGGGGAGGTTAATGCATTTAATGCACCTGCACAGATCTGATGCAGAAACGAGCCTTTCCTGGGGGAATCACACAGCAAGTGCAATGTCCTGAGCTGTGTGGCACAACTGCAAATAGCAGCAGTTTTATTTGAGGGAAGGGTATTTTGAGGAAGAGTTAATTGGTGTTGCTTAGCAAATACAAGAGCTAGCAATAAAATGAGTTGTTTGAAGCACAAACTCTGCTTGTGTAAGCATTTCTCTGGTCTCATATGCAGATACACACACACAATGTACAAGAAATTAGGCGTTATGAGTAAATACTTTTAATGTGTTACGGTTTCTGGACTTAACACACCAGCAAAAAGTCATGGGCAAAGCAGAACCGCCTATAATATTTGGCTCTTCTTACAGACATTTTCTTCTCTGAGTAAAAATAAATTGCATTTTAGGAAATTCAGTCAATTATCCCACATTAATATACAGAATGTAGATTAGTTACCCCTGAACGTGAGGGCTACCTTTATATTTAAAGCAATCCATTCTTTAACTGGGCCAAACCCATTCTGAAATTATCCTAATCCAACAAACTAAAATACCTCAAATCATTCCATCTTCAGAAATAGCTCTGGCAGAGCAGGGTATTTGAGCATGAACTTGTAATCTTCTTTCCTATTTTCCAGGTTATAGTAATGAACTCAGAAGCAAAACAAGACTGACATTTTGTGTGTTGTTCCACCTCACTCAGCACACATATAAGCCTTTGTATCCTTTTCTCTTGCAGGCTACTGCCTGGATGTTCACTGTGCTTTAAAAAATATCTCTGCATCTTTTCAGTGGTGGATTTTCCATTTTTCTTTTCATTCTTTGCTTGCTTTATTTCAGTTACCCAAGAGGAAATAATTTTGATAAAAGGATGTAGCAGCCAACACAGTTCAGGCAGGGATAATGATAAATGGAACAGTATGGAATAAACCCAAGGGTAGATATACCGCTGAAGAGACCCCAGGCCTGAGGAGGAGGCATGCTCCACATGCTATTAATCCTCTGTTCCATTGATTTAGGAATTGCCTGGATGAGTAGTGCCTGATCCCATATGCTAAATAAACCAAGAGGGTGGGCAGGAGTGTCCTGATTCTGCAGGAGAAAGTGATACAAGTCAACACATCACCCTACTTGGGAAGGAACATTCCAGATCCTCTGAAACTCGACGTGTCTGAACACACTTGATGTAGATTTTCTGACAGTTTAGGTCAGTGCATGATAAAAGGCAGCTCCCAAAAATCCATCCTGCAGCCTGTAACTCCCACAGTACAGAGCTGATGAATTTACACCAAGCCAGCTTTGAACCCAGGGTCAAACTCACAGTGATATGGTCCCTGAACAACCCAAACACTGATAGACTTGATAGAACTTCAAAGTGTGTATGTGAAATACTAAGCAGATTTTCATCCAAATCCAGTAAGCACAGCTTGAATGCAACAAGGTCAAGCTGCTTCTCAAATGTTCCCAAATATCCAATATCAGTAGTGAAGCTTACAAGAAAAATCTCATGGAGGAAAGGATTTTGTGCCAAGAGCCATGTTTTATCACTGACAAAAAGATCCTCCAAGATCATGCATGTCAAAAGATTATTTTCTGCAAAGTTTGGGCAGATTTTAAAATAAATTTTAGCCTGTTGAAAATGGAAGTGAAATGTTCAACTAAATATGTTCTTTGGGCTAAGAAAGAGGGAACTAATAGTGCTAATGAGAATGAGCATGAAGAGCTGTACTTCCAGCTGTGCCAGACTTTTGGCAAATTCTGCCAAAAGCAGTCCTGCTGCCCAGACTTGCTAATTTATGAAGCAGCAAAGGGACTGCCCAAAGATAGTATGATATCCAAGATATTATTTCAGCTAAAGAGTGATGAAGGGATGTTCAGCACAAAATAACTGCTAGCCAGTTAGTAGCCCTACTTTGAGGAAAACATATCTGTAGGCATAATCACCAAATTTGTTGGAGGAAATGTGAAAACAACCCTAAACTCAGAATGATGGAACAACCCAAGCCATGCCCTTTCAAGCACTTCCATTTTTAACAAGTCCAGCTTTGGCATGGTCTGTGAGAGGGTGTGGTTTCAGACCACATATAACATGTAGAGTTACCTGGAGTGTGCTCAGCACCTTGTTTCTGGTGTCAGGGACCTTTGCACTTCTCAGATTCCTAGAAACTGTGTAGACAAAGAACAGTCAGTCTCATGTAATAAATATGCAAAGACAGGCTGTGCAAACTTCCCAGGCTCTGAATCGACAATTAGACCCTGCTGGAGTACAACAAAAATAATAGTTAAGAAAGGTCAAGGGAGACCCCCCTCTGAGCGCTGTCGATTTGTGCCAAGCTGCGGGCAGTGGCACTGCTGAGCCTTTGTGAGCAGCGCTGCTCGTGCACTTAGCGCAGCGCTTTGTGCCTGCAGGGTAGTGACAAGCGTTTAAAGGCTTCAGGTAAGACTGAAAATGTTGCTGGAGGAAACGCTGGCATTGGCATTTTTTACCCTAAATATGAAAGCCAAGCTGTGGTGAAGGAAGGTTTGCTTATTTGACAGGAACACCAGTCGGGCAACTTAGCGCTGATCATGACACAGACAATATGTACATACACCCACCTGTACAGCCTGCAGTACCTCTAGAAATACTGCCTATGGAGCAAATTCCTGTGATTCATGAGGGCTCAGCAGAAGGTGTGCCAAGTAAACAGGTTTTTGTGAGGTTTTCATGGATTTTCCAGCTTCTAACACTCCACAGGCTGACAGTATCTCCTGCTTTATACCAAAGGGGAGTCATCCTGATTTTTAGGTTTTGGATTGAGTGTTTGCAAAAATCACAACTTTTCAGTCAGCAGAGTAGATCGCTCCTTAAACCCAAAAATTACATTCCTGAGGAATGAATATTTGACCTCAAGGCTGCAAGTACTACAAGGAGATCTTTAAGCATGCAGCCACTCTTGGTTATTAAGTCTCTTATTCATAGTAAGCAGTATTCATGTTTTCATTGTAAAATTCTTTTTCCAGCAATTTTCATCTTTCTAAACTGCCATAGCACATGTATGAACTTTCCAAAGATGTTCAAAGAAGTCTCTAAAAATATTTAGAGGATCTAAACCAGCTGGAGTTCTTCTATTCCTGGTAAAACAACCTACTTATTTATGTA